AGTAGACGGCTTCGTAAAGCACTGAAGAGGGACGCGAAAGAAATCGTGCTCAACGTGTTCAATTATCTGAACAGAACTATGTCGCAGGAGATGCACTCGCGCGTTGTGAAAGTATTACAGGCGTTCCAGAGTGGACCATTCGTAGGGTGGTGCATGAAAAGAAGAAAACTGGAGCTACTACTGATCCAAAGTTTAATTTGAAGGGACGAAAGAGCGTTAAATTGGATGACGATAGCAAAATGGCGTTAAGGCGAACCGTACATTCATTCTTCTTTAGGAATGAGATACCAACCCTCAAGGCTGTACATGCAGCGATCAAGGAAAATGAAATTATACCCCAAATGAGCGTCGAGGTAATGAGGAAATCCCTGCACGAAATTAATTTTCGTTACGAAACGCGGAATCCGAAGTCAGTATTGATAGAGAGACCAGAAATAGTCGCCTGGCGTCGAAAATACCTACGCGAAATGATTGAATATAGGCGACAAAGCAGAAAAATCTATTATTTGGACGAGACATGGGTAAATGCAGGTCACACAGTTAAAAAAACCTGGATAGACAAAAACGTAGTGAGTAACCGACAAGCAAGCATTGAAGGTTTGTCAACAGGTCTTCGTGGACCGTCAGGGAAAGGTCAAAGATTGATCGTAACTCATATTGGTAGCGATAGTGGCTTTTTAGAAGAGTGTGACTTGATTTTCGTCTCTAAGAAAGGAGGTGATTACCATGACGAAATGCTTCGAGAGCTGGTTTCAAGGGGTGCTTCAGCGAGTTGAGCCCAACTCTGTGATCGTCATGGATAATGCTTCCTGCCATAGTCGTCGAGCCGAACGTGTACCGACTATGGGATCTCGAAAAAGTGACATGCAGCAATGGTTGCGCGAAAAAGGAATCCCGTTTGACGATTCATGTGTGAAAGCGGAATTGTATGAAAAAATTAAACAGCACAAACCTGCGAACATTAGTTACGTGACTGATGAGATGGCCCGTCAATGTGGTGTCACTGTGCTGCGGTTACCGCCCTACCACTGTGAACTGAACCCAATAGAGCTCATCTGGGCTCAAGTGAAGGGTTATATTGCGCGCCATCACACAACCTTCAAATTACCAGACGTTAAGGTTTTACTTGAGACTTCCATACAGCTAGTAACGCCCGAAGCTTGTCAAAATGCTATCCGTCATGTTGTGAAGGAAGAAACAAAAATGTGGCAGCTTGACCACCACATCGATACCATCATAGAGCCAGTTATAGTCAATTTCAACGAGGAAAGCGATAGCGACAGTTTATTACTGTCAGATGTAAGTGGAAGCGACGATGAATAAAGGTAGTTCCTAAATTTTTTACTTACAATATGTTTCAAACCACTCTTTATTAAGCATGTGACAAATCTAGTTCACCCATGTTAAACATTCATACCCCGCCTATGAACAGCCGACTACTGGTAGTTAAGTGATGTTCACGTGAACATCGATGAGTCATTACAGTTTTAGATAGTTATAGTATAGACATTCTCATTCTCTGTTCCATTGACGCTCAACTTTTGCTTTTTAACACAGATCTTTTTATTAATGACATTGAAAACTGCATTGCGATTCCAAGTTATATTCAAATAAAACAGCAGAAAATTGTCATAAGCTTTTTCAAGTCTGACGATACCGAAGAAAAAGGAAAATATTAGGTAGGTTTGTTATAAATGCTTTATTCACAATTAGTGTTTGCAATAAAGACAATGATTCGACTCATTCAATCCAACGTTCCTTTTTCGACAGTCTCAAGTTGTTGAAGTATATGTACCTATATTCTTACTTCATATTTTTGAAGATTGGGACAGAGTGTAACGATAATCTTATAGAAACTCTATTCCTTAAAGTCCGAGTGAACGAGGTAAGCTCTTTCTCTTCAACGTCCTTTCATTCTGCCTTGTTCTAACCAAGCACAAATAGCTTCTTCCACATTCATTCTCGTTGCCTTAACACAAAAATGGCTTCAAGCAGGTTGAGTCTGCACTTCCCACGCAACGTCATTATCAATTCATTAAGAATTATGTCCAGCACAAACTAGTCCCTCTGATAAAAGAGTCAGTCACACAGGCCCATAGTCCATGAGCATTCTTGCCGCACCAGTATAGCATCTGTATGTAAGCGTCACCTCTCCGCGATACTTAACCCGCACGGGTATTACGTATCTTGGAAAGTGACATTATGTCATTTTTTTGACATTATATTGTTTTTTTTGTGACATCATGTAGGTGTTTCTACAATATGTTAACTTAGCACTAGCTAATGGATACGTTGTGAAGTCGTTTTGTAGTTGATCGTGTTGCCTAAACTTCATGAGGCTTCAGTTATCAATGTTTGCCTCCGATGTGATGTAAAATCTGTTTCAGAGATGGCATTACTATAGGTAACGGCCAATGCATAGGTGCATAGTGGGGATTTGTGTGCTAATAATATGTGTTGATGATAAGTCCACTGTATTCTTGTCTCAAATACACTTACTTGAGATTCAAAGCTAGAAATTGGTTTCTTATCTATTTTGCTAATTTTCAAAAATGAGAGAGATAAGAAAGTAATTATATTCACTGTACACTCTAATTACAAATTATATACATGCCAATAGTAATTACACACAATGTGGATGCGGTGGTGATTTCCCGTAATTCCCCTCAAAGTTTTTGAAAATACAAAAAACGCAAAAAATCATAATTTATAACTTTGAACATAACCTGTCTTTAGAGTATAACATATAAATAACCCGTCGGGTGCAGCTAATATACGAGTATAATTCGTTGACAGCATATTCAGTAATGATTTTCTCACACAGCAAATATCACTGATTTTATACACATGCAGACCAATACACATAATCATCCAGATGCGATCTCGCTATTCAACCAACTTTCTTCTCAGAGATGAAAACTATAGACTAATCGGCTTCATGAAACGTATGCAACCAACAATGCGTGTAGTTGAGCTATTCCTCCACAGATGGACGCTCACAACGATCCTAGTGAGCAAACGTGGAATGACTGTTTGCACCCTAAAAACTACCTAGTCTGCAAGATGATATTTTATAGGTTTTTTTTTTGACGTTTCATAGGTTTTTTACATAATACCCGTGCCGGTCAGATGTGGCGATGCGGTCAGAGCTAAGGAAACACTTTGCAGTGGCGCTAAAGAAGAATGTGTAATATCATACCAGAACAACAGAGCACTCAGCAAAGCCGTCGGCAAAATTGAGATAAACTCTCCCATCCTCAAGTTTCTTTTCCTCTGTAAATTTTTTCAAAAATCACCGGGATCCTATGTAATTAGTATTAAAAAACGAAGCTTGAAAGATTTTTATCTTCTTTCGTTTTTAGCCTTTTTCTCTGCCGCCACCTGACCGATTTCCAAAAACTATAAAGCTCTGGCATCCTTGGCATGTACTATGTACTATGTAAACATTTAATTGGAATTTAAGAGGTACTTAGCCTATTATAAGATTAGCGGGCAGGCGGGCAGACGAACAGACTGACAGACAGACCAACGAAAATGAGCGACATGATTTTTCGTGATGTACGTCATATAAGATCCAAGAAACGAAATATCTCATTTTCGAAAATTTTTGCAGTTACAATATACTCCCTGCCAGTAGGCGTGGGAAGTAATAATCTGACTCTCGATTACCTAGTTCCACTCTATATGAAACTTGTATGCGTGCCTTCCGAGCACCGACCCAACAAAGCCGCGGAACATCGATGCGCACCATCTAAACTAAGCCTACTCCACACAAAAACAATGGTAAAGTACTTTTGGTGGAATTGAACGAACTGCCTCAAAGTTTCAGTGGAATCTAAGACCGGAAACACACATTTCGGGTAGAACCGGGAAGTCAAAATAAAAACCTTCAACATGGCTGTATAGAAAATAGATAGTTAACTCTGGGACTGATATTTAGAGGAAAAAAATGAGGCTAGTTTACAGAAAAAGTGTACTGCAGGTCAGTCCTTGAATAACAATTGAAAAATGGCATCAAGTAGGTTGTCTCTGCACTTGCTACGCAATGCTGTCATCAGTCAAACAATCTCATTATAAATAATATTTCCTTGTCTAGCTTGTATTTCTGTACAAATTTGGGCCCTCTGAGAAAGTATGCTACCTCACGCTGTACAAGATGTCTTGGAGGCAAGTATGCTTAAACAAAATTATCTCTTACCGGTGGATGAGCCTCACCCACCCGCTGAGAAAAATTCCTGCGGGCGCGCATGATCGAAGCTATGTTTTCATCTCGCTCCACGGCAGTCGAGCAGCGGTGGCCGACTGGGACGCACACGCATTGGCCTGGCCCCAAAGCAAGTATTATCAGCACGCAACGGTTGAAAATATTTCTCCATCATTCTAATTTTTCAGGATAAATGTCCGGGGAAGTCTATGATGAGTGAAATATGTCTAATAAGTGCGGAGAATTACCACCGGTTGAAACGTATAAGTTTACCAACATAAAACTATTGAGACATACCCTTCTCCACACCATACAATATTTTTAAGCCCTACAATTATTCTTTGAAAATGATCAGGAGCATCTGAGACATCAAAGTCCCGCCGCAACTAGATTGATTTCATAAAGCTAAACTGTCCTTGGCACAGGCGGTGACCTTGCGTGAAAATTAAGTCAAAATTTGAGCGGCCCTTCTCAAGTTATAGAGGCGTCAAGTATTAGCGAACAGACAGACAAAAAAATGTACCTCATATTCGAAAATTTTCGTGATTGGTATACTTCCTCGCCAGTGGGAAGTGAAAACAGATGAATTTTTGAAAAATAATTGGGAATTTTGCTATCACTTTGAACACCAATATTTCAGATTTGCAGATAATGAAAAAATTCAAATATTCAAAGACACTTATGTGCCTACAGAATGGGTTCTACTGACATGCGGCTGCCTAGATATTTTTTTAAATACATAAGAAATAATTTCAAATACTTTTATTTTCATTTTTTTTAGTCTTGTCTTCTTTAGTTACAGATTCCAGTTTGGAATTTCCTTCAAAATGCCCGATGCTAACAGAATGTCCGATGAGAGCAGAACCCTGTGACGATGATGACGACTGTTCTGCCGATGCCATTTGCTGTACTAGTCCTTGTGGAAAAATATGCACCAAACAGCTATTTACAGGTAGGAAAATTGTGCTATTGTTAGCCTTGAGCGATTGGTAGATATTTATATTCCAGCGCGGTGGCGTAGTGTTAGACTCTGTTTGTCTACTAATTTAGTTGCCGTGAGCTGCGCGGGTTCGAATCCCGTTCCAAAGATGTTGGGATTGTCTGTACGTGGTAGACGGGTTTAAACAGTCGATTGTGGAGGTACCACCAGGTGGACCTCTAAGGTGTGGCCAGAATATGTGCATATGTGACGTTACCCCCTTCTCCCTAGTTATTCCCCTTTAACACCATGGTAGCCATGGGTATTTAGGCCTGCGTAGTGGCTCAAGTATAACAAATGTATCAGCGAGTCAGAGAGGTACGTTTTTGGAAATATGTTACACAAGCTTAGCACTGAAGAGCTCAGAGTACTAGGTACTACTTTGCTTACAGGAAACATTCCATCCATCAAAGCATTACTCTATTAGGCTTAAATTAATTCTCATACACCGTGTAAGTCTTCACCATTTCTTAAAATTAGTAGACACACTGGTTTTTGTGAAATTACACAGCCTACTATGAGTGGGATTACGAGTCCCTTCCCACTTCAGTTGGACCAACTATTGAAATCTCAGTTTTTTTCTTATCAAACACAAATAATAAAAATGTAGCAGGGTGTTATAGGTTTAAAATATTAACAATGAATATTTTGATAATATATAGTAGAAAACACCAACTTTATCACTCCCTAATCAAATTTGCAGCATAAAAATAACACATGTTGCAATTACAGCATATCAACCTATTTTCATTTCAATGCAAAATAAGTCTATAACGCATAGGCGGCTGTGAAAAATAAAAGCCCTGGCAATTGTTTTTATTAATCACAGTTGTCAGAATAGGTTTAAAATAGTTTTGGGTAGTTAACGTTTTCAAAATGGGTAGAGGAAAGGTTATTAGTGAGAAAATTCGGTTACTGATAATTAAATTTTTTAATACTGGGAAATCAAACTCAGAAATTGCAACTTTCTTAGACTTATCGCGGCACAGTGTGAGAAATATTGTTAGAAGATATAACGTAACTGGCTCAGTTGATATTAACCCACGATATGTGAAAAAAGTAATATCACAAATGTCGACCGAAGAGTATTAAGAAGAATAATCGTGAAAAACAGGCGTGCCAATTATTTACAATTAAGTGCTCTGTGGAGTGACGCTGTTGGAAGGAGAATTTCGAGGTCCACAACTCATAGAGAGGCACACAAACTGGGATTTAGCACTTGCAAGGTAAGTTTTCTTATAAAAAAAGTAAAGTAAAAACCCTAAAGTTGCACAACTTGTTTATTGGCCAAAGAAAAGCTACTATTAACTCCACCGCAAAAGACAAATCGGCTTAGATGGGCTAAAGAACATAGCCAATGGACACCTCAACAATGGTGTGCAATACAATGGAGTGATCAGGCCCGATTCGAAGTTTGTGTTGGTGACAGTCGCAGTGGAGTTATTCGCAAAAAAATTAAGCATTCCATGTTGACCGTCTGAAGAGAAAAGTGAAATTTCCAGTATCCATTATGGTCTGGGGTAGTATGTCATCAAAAGGAGTAGGAAAACTTCATTTTATTGATGGAAATGTGGATACAAACAAATATTTGGCAATTTTAGAAGAATCGCTTTTACCAGTGATGGAATAATGTTTGACATCCGGCCAAGATTTTGTGTTTCAGCAAGATGGTGCAGCGTGCCATACCTCAAAAAGGCTATAAAATGGATGGAAGAAAATAATGTACCACTTTTGAAATGGGTTTCTAGCAGTCCAGATCTGTCACCTATTGAAACTTTGTGGCACGAGATAAAAAGGTCCTACGACAACATCCTGCTCGTACAATCACCGAACTGAGACAAAAGCTTCAAGAAATATGGCATTGTTTTACACCAAATTTTTGCAAAAACTTGGTTAACATTATGCCCCAAAGAATTTCAGCCGTAATAAAAAATAAAGGAGATGTTACCAATGGTAATCTTTCAATTGTTGCTTTGTTAACTTCGCGCATTTATTCGCACATTGTTTATTTGTTCAGATGTTCTATTAGTTATAGGTCTAAGGGATTTCAAATATGTATTTTTTATGACTGGAGTGTATCTAAAATTTTTTTGAGGAAATAAATTGTTTTATAAGTAAATAATTTCGTTATGTTTAGTTTTTAAAGGCATATTTTGGTAAAAATCTTGAAGTGGGCCAACTGAAGTGGGAAGGGGCTCGTAGTGCATAAAATAAATTCCGTGAGTTTATATAAACTCTGCAACTCAGTAAGATTTATCAAATATTATAAAAAAAATTAGTTGATTATGAAGTAAAATCCCTTTTTGGAATAGTGCGCTGTTTAAATTTACGGGATCGACAAGCCCGCGTGTTGAAGGTACGTATTGAGCCGAAATTCCGCGGGTCCCCCTTTTGCAGGATTGCAGTCCCAATTTCAGTTGTCGTTCTGTAAGACCTATATGTACCATACTCAGCAACACGATAAGCAAGAAATCAGTAATATTATTGACATAAAACGATCAAGAAACGTTTGCGGTTCTTCCTATGATCCGGAGTAAAGGCACATGCAAGCTGTAACAGCATCCAAAATTAGATTCATCCTATCGCCCACTTTGAGGCGCTGCATGCATTATGGGAGAAGCTTTTCTGAATTCTATTAGCAGAACGAAATCATTTTTAGTTGCATTCCTATTAGGCTCTGAAATATTTTATGCAAATAGCCACTTGAACAAAAAGATAGCCTGCGCCTTATTCATGGTTTCACCATTCAAATTCTAATTGACTGTATTTTGTATGCAGATATGTGATGTTGGGATGCTTTGTGTGGATGACTCATGTAGTAATTAACTTAGGAATACATTATGTTGACCGAAGTGATTCAAAATGTATTCTACAAAGTGACATGCGGTGTAGCAGTACTCTTCCTTGTGACCTAGTTTTCTGGTTCATAGATACAGATTTATCCGATTTGTATTTAGATATACAGCGTAACTGGAAAAGATAAGTCATGTATATTGCCTCGGCACTTCTCGCATATTGAATGCGTTCAGCAAACATGAAGCGGTCCAGCGGTGCACGGTTTTATGCTGAAGGCAGTAGCTTTGTCAGTTCGACGGCAGTTTTAGCTTGATTATCAGATTTGATAATTTGTAGATTGAATGTTAACGAACTTTCAAACATTTCTGTTGATATTCAGCATAGAAGCGCTGCACCGCTGGAACGTTTAACGTTGTCTGAATGGACTCAATTGCTGCGTTCACTGGCATTCAGCCGTTATATAATGTCATTTAGATGCTCAGAGTATCTCAAGTCAACATGAGAAATGCCCGACTTAAATTATTTTGATCGTAATAATTTTTTTCTCTATGCCCTGATGCCTGGAGGTGACAAGAAGGAAAAGGAAAATTTAGAATTTCCCAAATGCTTTCAACCTAACTTCATCAAGCAAGGAATAATTTATTGTTTAATTGCGCCCAAAAACTACCAGAAGATTGAAAAGCATCGAAAGTCAATGTCAAGGGACGTTCTGGATTTTTTTCAAAACTCACACATTTCAAAAGTTTTTGTGCATTTGGAAAAGCAGCAACGTTGATCCAAAATTTAATCGAAATTCGCGATACAGAGTACATGCCATGTAGCACTTGAAAAGCTTCGAACTTTTTGCGACTACCATACGACCAATTTTGCTACCGCTAGGCGGTACTTGAGTGGTTACAGGTCAAACTGTCATTATTAGATGGTTAAAAGACAGATACGATAAAAAGGTAACCTGTTTTTCGCTATAACTATGTCACATTTTGACGTCGATTGAGGTGAACAGCTGATCAGCAATTGACATCTTGGCCTGCTTTTCACCTTAGACATGACCCTCAGCCTAATCAGCGTCATCTACCCACCTAGCTTTCCTGATCATCCCCCATTGGTATGGGAGATAAAAACAGTGACTGAATTCCTTAATCATTAAGCATGTTGAAAAATGACACTACAGATTGAAGATAGATTGTGGGTATTTTCCTACTTTTCTTAGTCTATTTAAAGGCATTTCTCAGAAAAAAATAATGTTCAGATATGATTTCCCAACAACAGAAATTAATTGTGTGAAATTTTCTAAATTTCTTGCTTAGTTTGAGGGCATATTGCTTGTGATAATCAACTTTAAAATCGATGCTTTTATCCATTTTGTGATATTTTGACTTTGTGCAGCATTTCGTCATGTATTCGTAAAAGTTGACATTTAACATGTTTTTCATTATCCATTAATTTTCTTACGATGATTGTCTAATAAGTTATTAAACTATAAAATTATGTCGTTTTGTGCATCTGCAAGATGTAAATTTAGTTTCTACCGATACGTCGTAATCATAAATAATAAATTGAACGTGTTGCATAAGAGATGAGATAAATTTTAACAAAACTGGTATTTACTCACGATTGAAGCAGCAGAGATCAAAAAGTAACAATGACCAAAACGATTTGACTTTTGGGTTAAGATTTATCGACTCGTAGATAGGCGGTGCATCTATTAGATTTGAAGAAGCTTAAGATCGCGACAATTTTGTTCTTCTTCTTCTTATTATTGTTATTATTATTATTAAACAACAAATTTGAGTTGAGTACAAGTACTATAAACTCAAACACATAATAGATAATAGCGTACAGACAAAAGAAATATAAAAATTTAACAATCTTAGCACTTTTGAAGTAGACATATACAGAACAGGAACAATATGTTAAGCACTGCGGTGAATATCATAATTGTTTTTGAAACTGTCGACGGATGCCGAGCTCACTACATTAGATGGAAGACTGTTCCATGCATCGACGACACGATTTGAGATAAAGCGCTGACGAGTAGAGGTTCTAAAAGCTTCCTTCTGCAATTTGAAGTTACGGCCTCTGAGATTGTTCGTTGCCAGACGAAACAGATGCGACATGTCCACACCGAACAAATTATGCAGTGCTCTGAAAGTGATGATGAGATCTCCTCGCATTCTTCTATCAGTAAGAGCAGGCAGGTTATACAGGGTGTTTCAGTTTATTGTTGCATAACTTTAAGATTCGATATAACTTTTATAGTCTATATAAACATAGGTCGAAAAATGCGTGGCTTCCGAAATACATGGTGTTTAAATTTACTTTCTAAAATAGTTTTTTTTAAATATTTCGAACAATATTTGATGTATAACAGTGAAAATTGGTATACAAGGGTTTTTTGGCACGACAAAATGAACCATGGGCATAGTTTTACTGTAGCCGCTATTTTAGAAAGTAAACTTAAACATCCTGTATTTCGGAAGCCACGCATTTTTCGACCCATGTTTATATAGACTTTATGCATTAATTTTAAAAGTTCTATCGAATCTTAAACAATAAACTGAAACACCCTGTATAACTTGAGGCGATCTCCATAACTCGGCTTACGTGTGCCATAAGGCATACGTGTAGCACGACGCTGAACGGCCTCTAATGAGCTGCTATCGCGAACAAGGTTTGAATCCCATACCGGAGCAGCAAACTCCAGTAAGGGTCGTACGAAAGTTGTGTACAAGAAGGAGGAGGTACTAACGGTGCAAAAAATGATCTTACTATCATATATAGCAACCGCTTTGCCTTAGAGGTCTGTCAGACCAAGATCTGTGTGAAGAAAAACAGTCTCTAAGATATGTTTGCCAATCTTATATGTTAAGTTAGGATTATTCTTTCCCAGCTGGAGAACGTAACATTTCGAGAGATTTAAAGGCAGGAGCCAAAGTTTCTGATCAACTTGAGGTCTTCTTGAAGCACAGATGAGGTCATGGCAGTGTTATAGACTTTAGTATTATCTGCATATGTGGAACACATCGAAGAAAGTCGAGTGGGAAGGTCGCTTGTATAAAGAAGAAAAAGTATTGGTCCTAGCACAGATCCTTGTGGAAATCCACTAGCAACAAATTTCCCCTGATTCCGAGACGTTCAAGCTTGTGCAGGAGCCTTTTATGCGGAACTCGATCGAAAGCTCTGGAAAAATCCGGATAAACCACGTCGACCGGTTCATTTATTATACAAATAAACTATTGATGCTACTTTCCTAACAATGAGCCACTTTTTTCCAGGTTGTCAAACCTTACGTATGGCAGCAGCCAGAAGAGCCAAGGCCTTCCTAGACGACGAGAAGACGAAGAAGGTTAGAATGCCTCGTTGCAGTAAAACTGGCAGCTTCGAGCCTGTGCAATGCGACAACGAGATAGCTTCGACCTGCTGGTGTGTTGACGAAGCAGGCTTCGAGAAACCTGGAACTAGAGCACCGGCAGCGGCGCTTGTCAACTGTACAGGTAGGGGACACTTATATGACGTACATCAAAATACCTATTTTAAATTCAACAACGAAAAACATTTTCTTGTTTCCTACAAAAGTTATTGACGCCATTCTCCACGAGTATATGCTAAATGTTAAAAAAAATGACGTCAAGAAGGTCGACTCTGTATCTGTATCAGTTCATAAAGGATCATATTCGGCACAAGTTAGAGTCTCTGAGAAAAAAGTTAGCTATGAACATGTAAAACAGAAATTAAACAAATCAAGTCAGTCAAATAGGCCCATGCAATTAGTTAATATATACATCCTTTCCCTGCCATACCGTTAGTGCAATTTTAGAACGTATAATTACCTCTGTTGGAAGCGTTTAAATATACTACTAGCAAAAAATTGAGGTATACCCTCCTCCACTCCTAACAACCCCCAACCCTCAATTTTCAACCTCTCCAAATTTTTTTCTGAAAATGATCGGTAGCCTCTGAAATGTCAAAAAACGAGTTTGAACTATTTGCATTTTTTGTCGTTATCTGCTCTCAGTTCCGCTGCCACTGTACCGATTTTCAAAATCTACAAAGTATTTTCGTGTGAAAATTCCATCAAAATCCGAGTAGTACTTTCTCAATTCTAGACGCAGCAATGATTAGCGAACAGACCGACGGAAATGAGTGAATTGATTTTCAGAAAAGTAAATGTCATATCATCCAAAATGCATAATATATCATATTAAAATTTTTTCGTGATTTCAAATCTGGGCGTGGTGTGGCGTGGGAAGTTAAAGCTGACTATATACTCGTAGATAGTATAGAAATGGAATTGCGCTCATAACACCTACCTTGCAGAATCATTATTTTTTGAAATGATACATTTTGCTATATGGTAGTCAGATAAGCTGGTCTACAATCAATTGCTGATTATTGAGAAACACTGAACATTACTTTTTTATGATAGCCGATCCATGGTTTAAGTGTCAAACGAGAAGTTCTGTTTTCCCGGGATGACAATAATTAATAAGCGACTATCATGATTAATATGATTCTTAACGTATACAGGTATGTCCATAATCCCTTTTCTAGATCCAGACCAGTTTTTCGGGCTAAATAATAAGCTGTGAAAGTTATACAAAGCTTCAATGTTTTAAAGGTCAAATACTATATTAAGCCCAAAGGACTTCTTCGAAACTGGTTTACTTGTCAATGAAACAGTTTTTATTGTCAATTGAGAAATTATAATTGCGTGGCTCATGAAGTTTTTAAGCTCCAGCAAATTCAGTTTTCTTTAGTGATTTTGCATTATGCACCAACGGCCTTGCCATTCTGGCTCCTAAAACTTTAGAAGTCTTTCTTTGAAGGTAGGAAATTTTGGATCAAAATTAACAATATGCTGTCGGCCCATCAAAGCCTCTGTCGCTTAGGGTTTGGTACTTGGACCAATCCTTTATTCGCTTTTTATTCATGACGTGATGATGACACGTTCGCTCTGGTGGCCCTGGTTCAGGATGGCCTGTTAAGTGAAAAACTGATGCACTTCTTCCTCTTCGCTCTCCCCTTCCTTTCTCTATCCTTATGTTCTTTCTCCCTGACTTTGTCTGGAATCTGGGCAACCAGACCTGACAGTCCTACCGACTTACGATACTTTAATCAAAAACACAGGTCCTACGGACCGCTCTGACAGATAATGACAAATATAAGACATTCTGCATTTCAGTTCGATGCTACGGGTGTGTAAAGATAGATAAATTCCAGCGACAGTAACCTGTGCTGGGGCTCGCCGTACATCTCCCCAATTACATTTGGCGTGAAATAATACTATAATCTGAATAGCAAGCTCTTTCGCCTTGCTTCATTCAAGAAAAGTGAACCATAAAAATCGGTACAACCATGTGTAACATTTAACACGTGATTTGAATAAAATGGTAAACACCTTTAGCAAATGCAAGAAGACATACGTATGGATTCCTGGAAATGTCTTCGCTTAGCATTTCAGAAGAACAGCTGCTTTTTAACTTTCACTTTGTCTCGGATGCCACTCACACACGTTGTAGTGTGGTATGGATTTCTTTTTCTGTCAATGACAGGTTGATAGTCTAGGAGCCGGTAGTCTGTTTAATGAACACTCCTTGCTTGTGTTGATTGGTATTCCCTAGTTCATCGTTTTCAGTTTGGATAGCAAGATATCGAGCTGATTTTAAAGCTTCTTTTCTTACTCATTTTACACCAAACAGTGATTTTTTCGGGATGCATTGGTAGCTCTTGCAATGCTTCTGGCTGGTCTTCACTCCAGATGGGGCAATTTTGTCTGTTAACGTAGCCATTCAACCAGAAATGAGCTTCGTCGCTGAACACAATTTTTCGATGAAAATGTGGATCTTCCTCCAACTTTGCCAGCGCCCATTCACCAAATGGGAAACGTTGTGGCAGGTCGTGTGGCTTCAATTCTTGCACCAGCTCTATCTTATAATGTTTTACACCCAAATTCTGTCGCAAAATTTTCCACGTAGTGGAGTAACAGAGGCCCAATTGCTGCGAATTGCGGCGAATCGACATTTCACGGTCATCACTAACACTGGCGGATACAGCCGCAATATGTTCTTCAGTCCTCACTCTACGTCTGCGTGTTGGTGTTTTAATGTCCAATAATGTAAACTGGGTTCGAAATTTTGTCACAAGCTTCCGAATAGCTCCCTCAGTAGGCCGACCAAATTGTCCATAAATTGGAAGCAGTGCTCGATGCACTCTCTTAACCGAGAATGAATTTTGATAGTAAAATTCAATAATTTGCAAGCGTTGTTCGTTCGTAAGTCGATTCATGGTTAAATTATAGATCAAACTGATCAAGTTTCATAATGACACAAGACACGATTCACGCATCATCTGTCAAAAACAGTGTTGCCAAAAAGATACTAGCAAAAAAATCACCCATTATATTCATATGTTTAAAAGTTTGAGAGGTTATGCTGCTGTCAGGTGCTGTTTACACATGGTATGACGTCAGAGGTCACTAATATATGGGCCAAGCATGGCGGACAGTGTTTTCGCTTGTCTAAGAAAAATATGTTTTTTCTTGGTCTAATATAACAAATATTAACTGCTTAACGCCTACTTAAAAATGTGTCAGCTAGCATATTCTTGCTTCTTGGACAGCTAAGTGCTTAGATGCTGTAGATACTGAATTTCAATTTTTGCTCACCTTAGCTTGGAGGTGCTGTTGTGTGATGAAGGGTCCATAAATATTAATGACGGTTTTAACTTGCAGAAGAAACTGCTCATAGAAATCCGGGCTACATTTAGGAAGCGACAGCAATAAATATCCATTTTTTCTGCTTTCATAGACACTTCCTTGCCTGACCCGAACAATGAAAATCGTTCGATATTTAACAGATAATTCTTGCCCAGGTTTTCATATAGCGCTAAACAATAAGCAGTTCCCACAGTAGTGTTATATAAGAAGGATTGTTCACGATTTTGTTCGAATTTTAAGGCAATGACAAATTATCACTGTATTTAACGTTGAAATATTTATGATGACTTTTTAATTTGTATGAAGTTCCCATACATATTTTTCTCATAATGCAGAGCATTGAAAGAATTATGAGCGAGCATACACGAGCAACTTAGTACAGCATGCTTAAAATAGCAGCAAATAAAGGAAATATAAGACAGCTGAAAAGTCAACACAACAAGGAAGTATCAAATGTAATGTAGCTTGCTGAAAAAAGTTAATACCTAGTTACTAAACTACGAAGACGTTTTCAGAGAGTATATCTTTGAAATACGAACAAAAAAAATCATGGAATACAATCTAAGGCCCACATCTGTATTTGTTTAACGTAATAGTATTAATATATGAAACTTCCATGTTGATATATTGCAATATTTTGATTTTTGACTTCCAGCTCCCAAACCATGTGCAGACCATACATGTAGAATGTTCTGTCCGTACGGATTTTCAGTTGACAAAGAAGGTTGTCCACTTTGTAAATGCAGAGACCCCTGTGATGACGTACACTGTCCAGGGACGTTGCAGTGCCATTTGGAAGAATTGGCTTGCGCTGATCCGCCTTGCCCCCCTGTTCCTACATGTAAGTTATCATTTTAAAAATCACCAAATATAAAATGTTGTTTTGATTCTTAATTTTTCATGTCACCTTCATGTCTGCTTATCCTCAAAAAAACAGTTTTAATGCTGTCATTCCCCCTATATTCTACAAAAGAATTTTTCTTCAGCTAAAAATCACTTTCTCTGGAAATGTTACATTTGTATTATTTAAGGTTACCGAAACATTATACAAGGTGTTAACGAAGTACAGTCCGCGAATCACCAGAAGTTCGCCAATTTTGCCCTGAGAACAAGGTTATGATCGTTATAAAGTAAACTAAGCATTGAATATACCCGCACGATAACTCAGATCAAATTAGTTTAAGAATTTTTTTTAATTACATTTTTTCCACCCCACAATGTTTCAGATTTTTTTAAGTTACAAGCTTCTTAATGTCTGAAAATCTCCAAAAATTGGTATATCATGTCAATGCTTAAGTAGTCGGTTAAAAACTATAGTTTTTGAGGTCGTCAAGTATCTTAAGTAAAGTTTACGCATTACCTTAAAAAATCCCGAAGAATATTTTGAGATTATTTCATTCTAAATTGATTTTTAATCTTGTCTGTCTGACCAAAATTGGCGAACTTTTGGTTTTCGCAGACTGTACTTCGTTAACACCTTGTATAATATAGGTACGAAAATCCTTCGTTGTCAACATACATGTTATGCTGTGAATCTATTTTTAACATTTTTTTTTTAAATAAATCATTAACGATCCGTTAGGCGATCTTATTGAAGTTTGTTGATAGCAGGTGCAAATATATCAACAAGTATTTAATAGCTACCACCACTTAGGAAAGCAGCCTTTCGAATAGTGTAAGTCATCTATATGACCAGATTTGAACCCGTTGACTTTTTTTGTTTGGGGGTTTCGATGTTATGCGTTTTCCAGATTCTCATTGTTACGTTTGCACCTACTGAATTTTATGGAGCTCCAATGAAACCTGGCTATTACAAAATTCAAGTAAAAACATACTTACATATCGTTTTCTGAATGAGATCGATAGGTCACTCACATGTTCTTCTACTCCATTTATATCATAGTGAAAATGAGTAAAATTAGGTGCACTGCTAGTTCAAATTACAAATTGCTAGGAAATCATTTGTAGAAATTTATTTTCAGAACGGACACCCCGCTTATTATTTAGAACTATAATACATTGTGATTTGCGGAGCTGTTGTTTTACTTTTAAGACTTGCATCGTCGTTGTCGTGACTAGAAACCCATCTATTCAATATGCCTTGTAGCAATATCTACAAACTCTCAATTTCTAATAACCTTATTCTACTCACGATTTTTGTTGTCGTTTTCGAACGACAATTAACTAAAGAACATGAGGATGCACCTTTGCTTCAAATGTCACGTGGCGGAATTTAGATACGGCGTTATGTAATTTGGAGCCCTGAACTTTATGCATTTTTAATGTCGTGGGATCATACCGAACCCTTGCCCTTTGGCTTTCGTTTAAAGCATGATGCAAATTTTGTACAAATAAGATCATGTTCAGTCAATACCGGTAATAAGTAAAACGCAAACACTCTTTGATGAAAAATTCATTCGCGAGTTTGGAGAAGTAGACCAGAACTATTAATCTTAAATCGCATATATCGCGGAATAATTATTTCACACGACAGATAATGCTAATGTGCAACCAGGTTAGTGCGTCCCTGTCGGAGAAAAGACGCCCAGCTTTCCCAATAACAATTTTGGAGACCTAACTGGTAGTGTTTAGTAACCAACAATTTGAGAGACTGGACAAATAGGCGCCGGTGGTTGCCGACCTAGCCAGTTAGAATACAGCACCAGGCAAATTCAATCCTACCTATGCCACTGCTCCTTTGTTCTTTCAAGCTGCTTGATGCCCCATCTGTCGGTGCTCATGTAAAACAAACCGTATTGATCAGATATCTCCAATTGCTTTGTAGTTGCACCACGGCTTCTCGTGGGTATGACACCACCGTACCACCATGCGGGGAAAGTAACCTCTATACCACTTGTCGGATAAGTGTATCCGCAACAATGAGTATGTTTGGTAATCAACAGCTTCCCTATCTCTCAAGTGCGGGTTCGAATCCCATCGGCATCCATTTTTCCTATGTCTTTAAGTTGTTGTTTAGTCGCTGTTGCGGATCCGTCCAGATGAGGCAGGGACATCAAACAGCTTGAAAGAACAAAAGAACAGTGCGTGGGTAGGATTGAAACTTACCTACTATTCGTCATTTGTTTGTCTGGGCGGTCCGTAGGACCTTTGCCCATTAGTCACTGTCTGATGTACGTTAGTCGAATCTGTCAGTCCTGGTTGCCCAGAAATCAGTCAAAGTCTAGGAAAAAGAGAAAGGGAAAGAGCAGAAAAAAGAAGAAGAGCAAAGAAAAACAGATATGCTTAGTTTAAGAGGAAACACCTAGGCTTTTTGACTTGGTACACGGATTAATTTTGAGGTGAACTAAAAAAAATTTTGATTTGGTTTTGTTAGAGTATAATTTTGAGTTTACTAAAGATTCACGCTAACTTTTGATTACAGTGCGAGCCGTGGCCTTGAATGTTTGCTCCACTGTGTAGTCCACTGAGTCACGCAACAGACGGTTGCTTTGCGATTCCGCTTGACTATAACGTCGCTGCGCCTGAAGCTTGACATAATCCCTCAAGTAAGGAATGTCAAGGTCTCCGTGTAGTGTCTCATTTGACACATACCATGGAGCGTTGCAAATTGTCCGCAAAGTTCTGCTTTGCAGTACTTGAAGACTTTGCATGTGTGTCTTGGCAAAGTAATGGCTTCTTCACAAATTTTTGAAGATGGTTTAGTGTAAAATAAGCCGGAAAGTTAAATAAAATGTGAGAATATTCATTCATAACCAATCGACAGGAATATCAAAAAACAACGAAATCTACAAGATAACGGTCTTTAATCAGATTCTTTATTTATTTACGGCCAGTTTACATCGTCTCGGTTCCGCTGATATCACTATAGATTTAGTTTTCTCTGTTGAAATCACCATGTTGTATGTTGTATCTTCGAATTCTTTAATTAATCTTTGTAGGTCATCCTCATTTTCGGCTATTATTATGGCGTCGTCGGCGTAGCATATTATCTGCATTTCCTGTTCTCCCATTCTATATCCTCTTCTTTTTTTAACTTTCTTTTTGATTTCATCCATTATCAGATTAAATATCAGTGGGCTCAGCGAATCTCCTTGTCTAATGCCAGTTTCATACTTGATAAAAATGTAAGTGCAATACTTATTAGCGGACATACAGACAGAAACATATCTGAAGTTCGGAATTACTCGTGATTACAATGCTTGCCCGCCTATTGGCGTGAATGGTAAAATATTTCGTAGAAACATCGTTTAGGAACTTGTATAGACTAGTGTGTTCTATAGGTACCTGATTTGATTTCAAAATAAGATGTGGTAATTGCCATGTGGGATTTTTGTTTTGTCCTTTATCCTTGAACTGATATTTGAAACCTACCTCTAAGTAAATGAATACCCATTTCAGTACTCAGAGCCAATGGGTGTATCGGTTGAAATGTCAAGTGAGACACGCAGTAATCTTTTTCAAGACCCATCCCAACCTGTTGGAATCCACTTGCGCAACATTGTCGATGATGAGATTTACCACGCATCTGGTTAGAATAATGACGTGATTTATAGGTACCTGCGATTTTTCGCAAAATAATTGCTATTTCATCCGTCGACTATTTGTAGATGTTTACGGGCTGTTACATGTCAAGGCCTATCTTATCAGTCGTAAAATAGGGTCAAGAAGATACACTCAATATGTAGAGTGATTTTGAGCTTCAACTTAGAACATTCTTGGTAGGTATATTTTGAGTTAAGCAAAATTGTTTTAGACAGAAACAAATAAATCATCTAAAACAGGATTTCCCAACCTTTTTTTTTTGTTTCCCGTACTACAAATTATATTTTCGTGCCCCCCTTTACTTTTTCAATAAATACAAGACAACGCACATTATATAGATACAAAGACTTTTATTTTAATTCTAATAAAGAAACTTTAAAAGTTTAAATAAACTAGTAAATGTTTTTTTATCAAAAAACTTGAATAAAATGAGAGTAGGTACTAATGAGCCACTTGAGATTGCATGTTCTGTACCAGTTGGTAGATTCTAAGTTCTGTTTTTGCCAGAGATGTTTAGTTTTAATTAAAAATAGAGCAGAAAACCCTGAAGAAAAGGGAACTAGTACTCGTAAAGCAGGAGAGTCAAGTGTCGAATTAACACGCAATCTTTTGATCCAAAATTTCTGCAATGTTGGGAAGTGGGAAGTAAAACGGCTTTAAAATCGAGGAGTATCAGCGATCGCGATTATGAGTACCTATTTGCAGAACGACTTATCTAAGCGATATTATCTGAAATAAGGCCACCAAATTATCTGAATACAGTCCGTACATTGCGCCGCAACGCTTGGGTTGGCAGCACGAAACAGTAGACAAAATTCGTCCAAAATACGATTTGTAGAGGTTTGCGCGCTTTGAAATTGACGCTTTATTTGTTGATATTTTTGGATGAAATTTTCACAGAGTGCTGAAAACAAAACCCCACAGGGTGCTATGGAGCCACATTTTCATTTTTTTCACTTGGTTCTTTTAAAAAAAATAGCGAAGTTGAACAGAAAAAGTGCGCACTTCAACCCGGCATAAAACTTGTACAAAAACAAAATTTCAAAAAGTGCTCCTATAGCACCCTGGGCAATTATCTTCTCAACATACTGTATGAATTTAATTCAAAAATATTGAAAAATGGAGAGTCAGTTTTGAAGCAGCTGAACCCTTGTAAATGGCTTGAAACTCACTGCGTCGGAGCCCCCTTAAGAAAAAGAATTACCTTTTCTTTGAATTCATAAAGGCGAGCCACCATGCTGCCTTTGGACAGCCAGCGTACTTTTGTATGGAACCGAAGAACTTTGTGATCAGAATCGAGATCCTCGCAAAGTAAAGCAAATAACCGACTATTCAAAG